GCAGGTCGTTGGGGAGGATTGCATGACCAGCCAAGAGAATGTCTGCGTCGGATATTAGTCAAAGCGCGGACAAATATAATTTTTTCCGGTTTTAAGTAATATAGTTTCATTTGCGATAAGACGGTGGAGTTGAAGTTTAATTGCTAAGAATTTTGGGTGAACGGTACAATACTGCCTCCTAATAATGAGAATAGTGTGTTGTCACATGACGTCACAAATTCACCACATTGCAACCTAGTTTTCAGGGTTCGCTCTCTCCTGGAAACGAGGTTGACCATTTTGAACTTAGTGGCAGCCATCTTGATTTTGAAGCAACGCAGTTGAAGATGACGTCAACAAAAATGTAACATTTACTTTCAACAAAGAACTGAAGCAGCTGCTAAAAAATGTCAAAATAAGCTTTACAGTCAGTGATATTTTTTATGGAAAAAAATAAAAGGAAGGCACTGTATAAGGAAGTCACTAGATAGAGTATAAAAATGATATAACGTCTTTAATCGCCCACTCAACACAGGTTTGCGCACGCAGAAAAGACAATTAAAGAAATTTTCTATCCATGGCGGGTAATTTGTACTCCGATATCTATTTCTGATTCTTACCGTTATAGAGCCATAAAACCCTGAACATTTACCTTTAGATCTCTCCAAGACTTCAATGGTTACTTTATGAAGTGATACCAACTCTTAAAGGGGTAATTAAATAACTATACAAAAACGTTAAAAATTAAAAAAAAACGCCAGCCTTTTCAATACGCTGCAGAGTATACAGAGTATATATTTGTTAATGTTTTGTATGTAGAAATTCCTATGGATGAAGGGGAACATATCTGACGAGTCGAATGGACACAAAACTGTGACACCTTTGTGGTAGGTGTATTTAGGGGTATTACGTTGCGACCAGTAGCTTTTTCAGATTCTTGGGACAAAACAAATAAGAGATAAAATTCTTCCAGGATTGCCTTTGTAAGGCAATTTGCAGACTATGAATGTGGGGGTGGTTTGACGCAATTTTCGCGAATTTTATCATCCTCTTTTAGTCATCATCGAAGAGTTACAAGGTAGATAGACATCACTTAACTTGGAAAAAAATCTCGAGACGAAAAAAATCGGAGAAGGGGAGGCTGTTTACGGTATGCCAACAAATGTCATATAGTTTCATTTGATCGCAAGCTCAGAAAAAGCTTGCGGGGCGTTTTGCTATCCAGGTCTTTATTTCAGGCACATTGAGCACACGGTTGTAATGCTCGGCCAACAGCAGAAACTTCTGAAGTTCCTTGGGAATCGTTGGTTGGCCACCAGCACTGTAACCATTGAAGAAGTCAAAGAACGAAAGGTCGGCATAGGTCAGCTGTAGGGAAAATAAAAATAAATAAATAAACATTCGCTAAGTATAAAGACCTTCTTTAATTTGCACGACTTTTTTTCTCAGCCGGGTTTCAAGTTAGGCTAGACAAAGAAAGCGTTAAGCTATAACCTTGGACGAGACTTGTTGAGATACATAAAATCTATAGCACTTGGTAAATTCAGAGAGTTGGACTTATCGCGACGAAGTATGAAAGAACTTAATGCACGTAAAAATGACTTCTTCGCTGCTGTCTCCGTCGTGTTGCTTAAGTTCTCTCTTAGTGCTTATTTTGCTTTCTTTAACGATTCAAAGAAGATAGACTGCCAATTGTTATTACTCGAAATATATAGTCTATGTATGATTTATTCACTCGGTGCATCGCGCACGTACCTTGTTGCCAAGAAAGAATCCCTTTCCTTCGTCTCGGCTTTTTAGCAGAGCTTCAAATTTCTCAAGTCTTGCAGGAAGAGTAGTTTCGTAAAACTCCTTCTCTAGCCCCGCCTTGAACCAAGATAAATCATATGTTTGAAAACTACTCAAAAGTGGCCACACTCGGGAAAGAGGTACGATACTGACATACTTCAGGCTGGTTTTCACGAGCGACGGAGTCGCAGTCGTAAGCGGAGTCAAAAGAGCGCTTATGACCTAGTGAAAAGTGAGGTCGTAAGCGGAGTCATAAGCGCGACGGATTCGCAGTCAGGAGAATCAGAACGTTTCCATCTTCTTCCGACTCCGCTTATGACTCCGTCGTTTACGATCTAGTGAAAACCGGAAGCGGAAGGATAAACCAATCACAATGCACGTTCCCACACTTTGTGATTGGTTGAGTTGAGTTCTTCCGCTTCTGCTTGCGACTCTGACGACCCAGTTTTCACTTGATCGTAACGACGGAGTCGTAAGCGGAATCCGAACGCTGTTTTCACTAGTAGATCGTAAAGTTCTACGCTTCTGATTACGACTCCGACTCGGTCGCTAGTGGAAGCCAGCCTTTAGACAACAACTCACCACCTGGTTAGAACGTTACCCATGCGCACAGCCATATCACCCAAGCAGTGACAGTTATTAGAGAGATTAAGAGTCACATTACCTGACCAAGTTTTTATTCCTTAACTTTTGCTTTACGGTTCAGTACTTCTACCCTAAAATTAGTAGCTTCACGTTAGTTTTCTCTACAACACTTGTTTTGGACTGTTTTAGCTGTACGTTTTCTATTTCAAGAAATTATCCACTTGAATCTGACGTTTGCCGTAAATGCCACTCCAAATCTCTCTATTGACAGATGCCGTCATTCAGGCGGCAGAATCCGCAAGGTATAGCAGTCAGACGCCAGTACGACCAACGGCCGAGTAGAAGCCGTCCACTCCTCCGTAAAAGGCGCCTGAGCCCAAGTGAGGACGAAATAGCTTCTCATGGCTGCCACTGCTAAAGTGATATAGCTGTGCACAGGCAAATACAAGATAAGATGGACCTAAGGGAGGTTTTTGAGCCCGCGAGAATGAGCAACCCCCGCAAACCCTTGTTTTCACTAAAACCGCTGGATTCAAAACCTACCCTGGGACGATGTTACATTGTCACATCCCCGTACACACGCGTTATAGGTGCTGGACAGAGCCGTATGAGTTGTTTTCTTGGAGTGGTTACATACTCTCTAGGCTGCTCTTCACCCCAATTTAGCTGCTTCAAGCTTATCAAAACTGGCCAGCCTCACCGGTTATTTTAAAATAAGCCTCTTTCGAGAGCTTCCCTGAAAAAACAGAGTCACCTCTCTCATAACGGACACCTCTATAAGATGACACCTCAGTAAAACGGACAGCTAGAGTTGGTCCCTGCCCTTCTTTATTCTCTTTATTTGACTCTCTATAAGACGGACATCGCTCTTAGATGGACACTTGGTAGCGGTCCTAAAGGCGTCAGTCTTGGAGGGCGTTGACTGCAGACTGATATCTGGTGGAATTCTCTGGCTGCCACTTCTGACTGATACTAAGCTCTCCTAGTCTGTGAGAAAGGACTCTTCCAGCTAGAACAGTGATGTAAACTCGATGCTACATTCTAATGACTATTTAGACCCTCTACTTAGTATATTTTAGGATACGTCACCTTTTTAGCCTCGTCTTTCTCAAAAAAGACTTGATCACGGCGTTACGCAAATCATCAGTAGCATCGTGGATCATATTCGCCAGTGCTTCGTCAAAGCTGTCCTCTGGACACAAACCTGACGAGTATACAGTGTCAAAATTACGTTCCCGAGGTTTTGATTGACCTTGAGACCAATAAAACGGACGACGGCCCGCTCACGCGCAGTTGAGAAAAAAACCTTTATTGCTGCAGACATGCGCAGTTTGATCCTAGCCTTCAAATATGGCCGCCTCTCGACGTGCTAGTGGCGTAAAAACCATAAAAAGCGGCTGTAGATTTCGCGGGATAAGCCTGTGCTCGTGGCTTCGCTGGGCAACATCAAGTGAGTTTGTAGAGCGAGCTATTTTTTACTTGCTACTGCAATGCCCTAGTACAAACTGGCGGAAGTTTGAGATGACTCCCACTCCAGCTTATAAACTACTGTGAGAAACATGTTGCCCCCTCCCTCCACCCCCTGCCTACCCCCTATAATGGCCTATATGGGGAGGCTGCGCCCGAAAGGGGTGCCTCTTTTAGGCTTCAGCTATGAAAAAGGTAGGGATTTCCCTAGCTGAGGTATATGAAAGGGTAGGGAAATCTGTCATTTTGTTATTTCGGTATGTACTAAGCCCAAAAGGGCTAATGTATGCATTTTATAACTACGAGAAAGTCAAGAGAACACTCTGGTTTTGTGATTTATTCATATTTTAAAGACAGTACATTCACAACAATTAAGAGGGATGCAAAGTTCTAAATTAGGTTTGAAGGGGTTACCGTTATTATTTGGTAAGTACCCACAATGGGGTTACCTGATTGTCTGCAGATGTATTTCATAATCGCACCAGATTGTCCCGGGATTTTTCCTTCTGGGGTCACGAGGAATGGCATCTGACCAAGTGGCGGTCTGCCAGCTTAAATAATGAAACAAAAAAGGGTTTCAAACTTTTTGAACATTTATGTTGTATATTGGAGAAATTCTGTGAATCAGGAAAACATATCTTGGAACTGAGGACAAGGTTAAAAATAGCCAGCTTTATGATAGTCTATAGTCTAAGGGGCGGCCACCCTTTCCCCTCCCCAAACTACCTCTCGGCTCGCTTCGCTAGCCGATTTGTTTTTCCTTTTTCCCTCAATGCTGAGCCTGGTCCCAGGCTAGTTTTGGCGCAGAGTGGCGGCTAATGACGTCAGCCTATTTTGCAATCAAAATTTAGTAAAACATACACAAAGGTTTATGTAAATCGACGTCAAAAAACAGACAAGAGCCTGGCATAAAGGTCCAGGCTTATGTAAATAACATTAAGAAAAAAATATAGAAGTATAAAATTAAATTTTGCATTCGCCAAGACCGTAAAATAAACGTTCATCAAACTAAAAAAGCCAAAAACAGTATCATGCAATCGGACGAAAAAAATGTGTATTAAACAAGGATATCTAATATGAGAAACTGAAAACTGCTGCCATCGATTAAGGAGAATTTTGAACGAGTAAACACGCGATTTTGTCTTGGGGTTATTGGGGAATATCATATCCCTCAAACTTAGTCAAAAATCCAGGATTAATGATATTAATACCAGATCAGACAATACTCGATAAGATAAATGAAATCGAGTGTTATTTACTTACACGCTTTCTCCTTAGCCCATTCTTCACTTTCTTCACCGGTCAGCGACACCTTCAATCGAACATCTTCGAAATCAATTTTGGCAGCCGCAAGAGCTAGTCGGCATTTTTCTCCTTTGGCGCGTGCATCAAAGTAGTAAAGCTTGTAGCCAGCCATTTTTTCGTCTCGTTTTCTTGCTCTGTAAGCTCGCCTTGCGTTGATCAATCACACAGCAAATATCTCGTAGCCACAGCAGACGAAAGTGACAAGGGTAAAACTCGAGTTTGTTGACTCAAGCCGAAGAATGTAAGACCCACCAGCCACCGAAGGACTGGCGTGACTCTCTGTGTACCCTATTAGGGAGTTTAAGATACGGCGACTACGGACTACGGCTACGGATAAATATGCTACTGCGCATGATCAAAACCACGTGACTGTTCATTTTTCCCGCGTAGTCCTGCGGCTACGGTGAGTTGTTGAGCTGTTTCGCGTAGTCGGGACTACGGAGAACATTTTGCTCGTATTTTGCCGTCTCGGTAATTCAAGAATCTCGTCTTTTCGAAAAAAAGTTTTCAATTCACCTGCTTTAAGTGAGAGGAAAGCGAAATATGTAAGTTGTGTCTAATTTCTGCTCAGATTTACGCCTTTAATCCACTGTTGTGACTACATTTTTATCTAGCTAAGCTCATGTTTAAATAATAAGCTTAGCTGTTTATACGCAGAATTCAGATTGACGGCCTAGGAGAAGAGAAATCATGCAGGTAATTTACTTTCTCTTCGCACTTGAAAAGTTTCAATGTTTGTTCGAACGGATTAGTGAGTCTTTGTACCTGTGTAACCTTTATTTATGCGAGTTTTTGTATCGCGCCATTTGCTGAATGAAAATGATGTAAACATGCTCGAGACAATCGAAACTCAGCATTTCAGTACTTCAAACTACATCAGGTCAGTAGTCGGAGAAGTCCATCTTCTAAATCTAATAAATGAGCTATTACTATTTCTGGCTATATCTTTAATATTTGACATAAGTATTCATGGGCGAAAAAGTAAAACCTGTGTAACCAAAACTTTGTTTACCAATTTCACCCGACGTAATTGCTTCCTTCAAGTATGGAAGAATCTGTTCATTGTTCTAAAGATAAGATCACATGCAAAACTGACTTGCATTTTTGTCAACTGTGATGAAAACAAGAAAATCTTTGCGTGTTGTTTCCCTCTCCGCCTCTTCTGTTGTAGTCTACTGTCTGTAGTGCAATCTTAACGTTCTATATTTGCACGACTCAACCCAGTACTACGAACAAAGGACAACGCTCGTCCAGCCGTAGTTCGTAGTCCGTAGTCTCCGTATCTTAAACTCCCTATTATCAAGCGCAGCCAACGACGTCTTTCTGGAATAATAAACTGCTCATGTTCGAAGGAGCAAATATTGAATAGAAATTTCTACAGCCCAAGAAAAGCTGAAAATTTCTTGATAACCAACAATTTTGGGAAATTGTGTTTTTCACGTCTTATAATCAAGATACATTGTATTGCGATTATTAGTAGAGAAGGTCTCCCGAAAATGTCGGATTAAGACAAGGGGAGCAGCTTAGGGCAGCTTCAATTTAAAACATGGAGAAAACCAATACATATGACGTACCGTATTCATCAGTTAATAAGCGCCCACCCCACCCCTACCCTTCTCCCCTCCCCTCCCCCTCCCCCTTCCACTTAAACTTAAATAAGCTGTATCTGCTTCTCGGGCGACTAACCCATTGCCGACGTTACGATGTCGGACATCGAGGATGTAGCACCAAAGAATTCACTTATTGACATGAGTGACAATGAGATTGAAATTGAAATGAAGTAAGTGAATAACTGACAAACTTCCCGGAAGACGGAATTTTCCGCGGAGTATTTTACAGATACCATGATTTGTTACATTTTCGCGTTTTGTGTTACCATTTGTTGTTTTGTTGCAAAATAAACATACTACACTTGCTGAAAATGGTGAAAATTTAATAAGCGCCCAGCCTCTATTAAACGCCCACCTTGAATGAGCGCCCAATCTCAAGGGCCAATAATTTAATAAGCGCCCAGGGCGGTTAATCGATCGAATAAATACGGTATTTGGAAACATTCGATCGTTGGGTGACCCGGTACTGGTCGTACTATAGACGAATATCATCTCGTAATTTTGAAAATTTATAGCATAGCGGTATTGTCTCAAATTTTTACGTATTTTACGTATTGTCTCAAATTTTTACGTATTGTCTCAAATTTTTACGCCCAAATCGTTGTCTTGTATAGCCCTAACCACTCTAGCCAACCCCACTCCCTGGGGTTTACTTCCTTTCACGGCGAGATGCGTAGCCCAGAAGACGTATTGAGGAGTAGGGATTTCGTCCACTTGTTTATAAATGATTATTACAGCAAATGCTCACCATACTGAGCAAGAATAATGCTAAAAAACAAGAAACAAATTGCTTCAAATATAGCAATCGAGTTTCGCACAGCAAAGCCTAATACCTAACTGGCCACGAGTCAGCTTTTTTTAGTGAGTTAGTTTTTTTGTTTATGTTGTTTGGTTTTTTCTTTCTGTTAAAAAATGCGATTTGGATACAGCTAAATCAAAAAAGGTTGCCTTGGTAATTGGTCTTTGGTAATTGGGCATTGGACACTTGGACACATGGAAAAATGCAATGATTTACTCGAGTGACCAACAGACAATAGCTTACCAATGCCCAAAGCAACCTTTATTGAATCAGCTATATCTTAAGGGGTATTGCCAAAAAATTCCCGAAGGCAAAACCATTTCTAGCCTCCTTAAAAGACCAGAACCTTACCTACTTTAAAAAGGCAAGTTCTGCGTCATCATTTAGCCTCGTTCCCAGGGCTTTTTCAGTGTAGACTCAGGAAAAGAGGTTGCAACATCATCGACGTAGTTAAGGAGGGGATCGAGAAGGGCAACTGTTTAACAGCAAGGTGGAATCAATACAGATAACCAGTTCTTGTCTTTATTGTAAAGAGAATACCTTATTGCTAACCGAAACACCATCTGAGCGTCCCAAGACTGCACCATCTTCACTCGGCTAATTTCAAATTGACACAACATGCTCCTGTATATAACACTGGGATCACTTGCTACAGTTGATGAAGTAAAATGTAGAAATGTCTTGTTTCGAGAATCCAGTTACGCAGAAACCTAACTTACCGTACTTCAACAAAACAGGAAAATAGTAATTAAGATGTCACCCTACCTGGTCATTCGTCAGTGTCACTAAGCAGTCTATCTATTTGATTTTTCATAGCATTGCTGTTCAACGATGTATTTTGCTCTAAAAACGTTTAGCTAACGTGACAAATATCCCTTCCTTTGGTCGGGTGATCAGTTCTCCACAGGTCCGTAGGTCATCAAAGGTCTGCGCAGACTCAATGGAGAAATTCCGCATCACGTGATACAAGACTATTTTCTCTTCCAAGAAGGCAAACCGCTGACCTAAAAAGAAAAA